CCAGGCAGTACAGGCATAGGTGCAGTCCTCCCCTCCCCCATCCATCTCACAGATGCCCCCACAGCACTCTGCATGGGGCTGAGCCCCGCCTGCTCCTGCCAAGGGCAGTACGCACCATGCTTCTGCCCACCCTGGCCCTGGGCTAGCATGTACAGCTTCCTGGTGGGACTGCTCCCAGTGTGATTGCAACTACCTGGGTACTGGTCAGCTCCCCCTGCCTCCAACAGCTCCTCCTCCTCCTGCCAATTGATTGTATCTGGCCCACAGTACTCGGCATGGGGTTGAGTACTGTTTGCCCCTGTCTGGGGCAGCCCGTGCCCTGCTTTCGGTCTGGGCAGTAGGAAGTGCAGGGAAGCTCTGGGGGCATGTGCTGAGCAGCAGCTGCCCAGCCAGGTGGGGGAGAAATTGCAGCCGTGTGGCTCCTGTCCCAGTGTGCAGAGCATCAACAGCATCTGCTGCCCAGCATGCGTCCCCAAGGCTCACCCACACTGCCTGCTGCCCAAAGCGGGAGCAGGGTGTGGGCTGCCCCGGGCAGGAGAAAGCGTGGCTTAGCCCCATGTGGAGCACTGTGGGCCCGAGACAATCAATTGGCAGGTCCTCTACAACTCCAATTAGTTGGAAGGTTGGATCCAGCCCGCAGGCCATTTTTTGTTGACCACCCCTATAAAATTTTATTATTAAAAACTAGATTGATTTTCATTATGTTTTAAATCTATTTGGCACTGTGGTGTGTCCTAAACACATTGGTTTATTGATGGGGGGGAAACTTGAATTTGCAATAAAATTGGTTTAATTATTGGTTATAATGAACATTACCCACAGACCCGAAAATGATCCAAATGTTTATTGCCAGTGATGTGGGTGGATTTTATAGCTTTTGAATTGTCTTCCAGTGCTTACCACTCTACACTGAGAACCTTGTAAATAACATAGTATTTCTAAACCATTTTAAAAGAAATGTAATCATTAAAATGTCACTGTATGATGCACTGAGATAATTTAACTTCATGTAGACTTTAAAAAAAGTAATCTGATCAGTAAAAATACCATCTAAAGCAGTTGCTAAAAGCAGTATTTCCATTTATAAAAGACGGTTTTTATCCAAGCATTTCCAAGACCCATAAAAAGCACTGTTAAATCATTCAAGTCCTTGATTCAGCATGGTACTTAGGCATGAACAGAATCTTAAGCAAATGGGTAGCTCCACTGAATTCAAGAGGACCCATGCTTAAGAACTCAGATGCTTAAGTTACATAGGTGCTTCAGTGTCTTGCTGAATTGGAGCTTTAGTTCTGAAACTGCTGCTGAAACAGCCATTTACTCAGGGATACAAAGTGCAGAGGACATGATCTAATTTTTCTCTTTGGGTATTAGTGGAATTTAGAAGGAACAACACTGAAACTAAAAACATTACATTGATGTAAAACATGGTTTGGAAGGAAAGAACTGGGGCAATGGTTTTTACAATATACTTAACAGTAACTTAGAGTTAGGATTTTTATTATTTATTATATGACCCAACAAAAAGCTATTTTGGGGGCTAAATCCTGCTTCATGCTATCCGCCTAAAAAGCATGCATACAGCTGTGCTACTGCAATTTTTGGTATTTCTGCATCATTTGGGATTCTACAGGAAAACAGAATTGCCCTTCTTTCCTGCTAGAAGTAAAATGGAGGAGGAAGAGGTAGACCCTCCCATGGTTTGGGTCTAGTCATTAAAAGATTAGGTTCTAGGTCCTCTCTCATATCCAACGAGGGCATGCACCTCCTTCTTTCCTGACCCCAAATATGGTGATCAGTTTGACCCTGAGAAGAGGGGCAAAACCTTATAGCCAGAAACCTCTGGCTTTAAGTCCCAGCAACAGCATTGGTACACTTCAGTCAAAATCCCCAGCCCTGACTGTAGACAAAACCCAATGCTTCTGAGGAGGGCTTAAACTGCACCCTTTCCCCCTTCCCACCCACCAACACATGTAGCAGCAAGAGGAGGGGGTGCAAAATTCCCTCCCATTTATCATTGACTTCAACAGGTGTTGCACCACGTTGTGGATCCAGAGGACCTAATCTTGATTGCCCCTCCTCATTGTGAATAGCCTTTACAATTCAAGTCAGTAATGACTAACAATCAGGCAACTCACAAGAGAAAAGGTTTGCAGGACTGAGACTATGAACCATGACTGTGCAAAGTCTTACACACACACTTTTCATATTGTGTGTAGTCCCGCTAAAGTCAGTGGGACTGCTCCAAATATGTAAATTATTTATAGGGGGTGCTGGTTGTAGCTGTGTTGGTCTAAGGACATAGGCAGACAAGGTTCTTTGGGTAAATGTAATATCTTTTATTAAACCAACTAAATAGTTGGAAGAATTGTTCTTTCCAAGCATTAAGGTACAAACACCCTTCTACAAAGGTTGTTTGTACCTGAAAGCTTGCAAAGATCAATTTTTCCAACTATTTAGTTGATCTAATAAAAGATACCACATTTACCTAAAGAATCTGTCTGTAAATTATTTTAAGCACTTAAGTCATTGCATGACAGTCAGCTTTTTTTCTTCCAGCTGCTTTCCTGATGCTAAAAATCTATGTTTAACAGAAAGAGGAAAAACATTGTAAAGCACCTTGTAAGCAAAGCTTGTACTAACGGTAGGTGAATTCAGCAAACAATGCACTGATAGATAGCAACAGATTGTTTTGTGGGATTTATCAATGGACTTCCTCAAGCTTGCAGCAATGTGAGTCAGTACAATCTGGCCTGTTCTGAATGCTGTATTAGAAACTATTGTTCAGCATATCACAGTTAAATGAATTATAGTCAGTATTTCAATAAGGATTATACTCTTGTATTTTTATTTTAGGGACAAATCCTGATTCCTCTTTGTAGTCAAAATGGGGGCAGGAGTTTAGACTCTCTGCATCTATCATTTCTTAATGGCTGGCTCTCAGCATCTCCTTCTTTGCTGCCCTGATAATCTGGATTGCACTTTGGAGAGGTGTATCACTCTGTTGGGAAATAGATCTATATTGTTTGGTGTGTAGCAGCCTAATATATGTTCCCAGGAGAACAATTTGGTTCCAGCCCTCAATCTCCATCCCTAGATGAGCTACATTGAACGGAGAAAAACCCAAAAGATGAAAGTTCAACACTGCCTTTATGTCATAACATCTCATTGAAATATGTAACTGATGTTCACAGCTTCTTTTTCCTGGAAATATCACAGTAAACTCATCTTTAATTCTTACCCATACTGGCCTAGATTCACCTCATCTCTCTGACTCCTTTGCACACAGCTCTAGTTACAGCAATGCAATACAATCAGTGCTTCATAGAAAACTGGCCTGTTGGTTCAGCATCAAATTTCAGATTTGCTCAAACCATGGGCTCTTCAACTTGTGACTATTTTAAAATGCTGGCAAGGGGCAGCTTTCTAAGAACCATATAGGTTGTAGACGCACAGGTATAGCACCAACATGCACGGGCAAGTATACTTACTGGAAGGCCTGGTTCACCAGAAGCTCCATTTTTCCCATCTTCCCCAGGTGATCCAGGGGGGCCTGTATTTGAATCTGGCCCTGGTTTTCCTGGGAGACCAGGTAATCCAGGAGGGCCTGGTGGCCCAGGGAGACCCTTGATAAAACAAAAAAATTGTGAGAAAACATTGTCACAGTATGCAGTCTCAATCTCACCTACCTGTCTCATTTGTACTAGCTTAGTTCCAAGTATCTTAAAATCTGATTTTAAAATATCCTCCTTTTAAAAAAAAATACATGATTTCTTTTTGCTAGTTTTTTCTCTCACATGCCTAATATCCTCATTAATGCTATTCCCTTTGGTCTATCCTACCTTGCCTGTCTCCACAACAATCTACAACTGAGGAAGACTGATCTGGACGAATGTACTTGGATTTAGGTATCCTTCTTTTTCTACACTTCTCTCTTGCTTTCCTCCAAGTCATGAGTTCCCTTCCTCTTTTAAAATCTTCCTGTAAAGCTTCATGTGCTCTTTAAATTACATTAGCTCTCCCTGAAAAGCATTTGTAATACTGTGTATGAAATATACAGTAGAAAATGTGCATTTGTTATTTGATATGACTGATTCACAATGATTCAAAAGCTGGGATAATTTAAAAATCTAGATAAAAATATACAAAGCTTCAATGTGTAACTAAGTGTATCAGGGAGCCAGAGGCTTCTGTTACTTTAAGGTGGAGAATGTAACAGACAGGAGCACTGAACCTGGGCTAGCTGCAGAAGAGACAGCTAGGGAGCTAAAGGGCTGAAAATAACTACCTCATAGCAAGCTATAGAACAAGAGGCCAATAGGACAGAGCTCCAGGGAGGCAGGAGGGTAAAAAACTGCAGCTCAGCCAGGAGAACAGCAGTAGGCTGCTCATTAGGCCCAGGGAGCATACCTGTGGCCAATCAGGGGCATACCTGACCGAAAGAGGAGTTCAGAGTATACAAACCCAGATGCCTGGGGCAGAGGAACCAATGTTGTCCTGAACTCTGTAGAGTGAGATACTCCTGCTAGCCTGGATTGTCAAAGAGTGATAACTTCAGGCCTGGAGATACCCCATGCACTAGGAGAGAGCCAGAGGGAGGGGAGAAGGCTTCTGCAGCAGTATGATGACCCAGAGGGGGTTTGAGAGTTTTAAACTAGGCAGGTGGCTGGCATGTCAGTTTTAGTTTAGCCAGAGGACCAGTTTGTAGCTGAAGGGGTGGATTGGAGGCCATACAGCAGGGTACCTGGCGCACACTGGATTTTAACTCCTGCAAAACAGCAGGAGAGCAAGCAGGCAGGGGGAAGAGTGAGCCAGGCTAGGGCCGAGATGGCCAAAGCCTGGACAAGGGCAGAGCAAGCCAAGCTAGAGCCAAGAGGAGCTCTAGTGAAGATAGGGCCTAGGGCCCAGAGCGGCTTTGGTAGGACCAGAGGGCCTGGCAGACTAGTAAATGAACAAGAGTAAGACCTGCAAGGCATGAGGCTATGGGGGAGGCTGAAGGCTGCAACTAATGCCACTAAGGTAATTCAAGTGTCTGAATGTGTGGATAGGGCCAACAGGACTCAGTCTCAGTGAGACACCCGTGTCAGTGGGGCATGGAGCAGTAGCAAATTTTGAGTCCTTTGCCACAAGCAGGACTGGGGCCTAGCAAGTATGTAAGGCTAGGCTAAATGGGGACCCAGTGGGCACACTAAGGGACTTTGGGGAATTTTCTCCCAAAGTAAAATAAAATTTATGTCAAAGCGTGGCAGGCAGGAGAGTAAGGAGGTTGCCCCGAGGAACTGACTAGAAAGGTAGTTGGGCCACTAGGGCTAGGGACAGACATTCAAAAAGCCTGAGCCTGAATTGATTCAATCTTTGCAGGTTAGTCTAACTTGGCTAGGCTAAACCGGTTTGCAATTGCACAGACATCCCAGAATCCCAGTAATGTAGGCACATGCCTGCAGTGACTCAGGCTAGAAGCCAGGGGGCACTAGAGCGGCCCTCCATTCCATTCCACAGTGCTGAGCTAAGGGGAGGCATGGCTAGGCCCCGGCAGGACACTCTGATTAGGGAGGGGTTCCACCCCTCCCTTGATAACAGAGCATTTATCAGTTTTGTTATCAGCATTTAACACCCCATCTTAAATAAAGCCCCTCTTATGAATTCAAGCTCTTCTTAAACAACTTTTTCCAAAAAAGGGAACATTCCAAGGAGGAACATTACCAGCTACCTGTTGATTAGCTACAAAAAGGACACAATCCTGTCTGCCTTTGTCCCATCTGCCACAGCACAGACAGCAGCCAGCATGTGGTGTGCCAGCTCATGCTGAGAGGTGTCTGTGTAAGGCAGACAGGAGAGGGGAAACCCTGCTTAACAAGGAGTGGTGAGGAGAGGGCGGGGGAAGCAGGGGGAAGCCAGGCAGATGCCTGCAGTCTCTGCAGGAGCTGCAGCCAGGGAGCAGAGGGGAGGGGCCAGCTCTGCTGTGGAGCAGAGAGCACAGTCCAGAGAGCATGCCAGGATGCTGGGGTAATCTGGTTTAACTTAAACCAGGAAGGGGTCTGGGACAGACCTTGGATAAACCAGTTTGATCCAAATCAGTTATGTCTGGTACTACTACATTCAACCAGGTTTATCTCAAACCGGTTTTAGCCATTTTCAAACCACTTTATGTGCACCGAACATCTGTCCGTAGCCTAGGAAACATCATGGCTGCTATTGGCAGCTAGTCCTATCCCAGTGTGCATTGAATGTTAGTGAATACTTACTCTAAAAAGCTCATGGTCTCTGTCAAGGTCACCAGAGCCTGATCCTTCAGGGTCAAGTCTACTCTGAAATTAAAAGAATTCATTTATAAATGCTATTTTTACTGAAGAGATGAAAAACTAATAGATAAGAACACTGTTGGTGAATCACCACTTATCTCATTGTAGCTGTCATCTCCAGGTCAGAATGATCCTTTTGCAATAAACTATATTATTATGCCCTAATTAATATTTTGTCTGCAACAGGAGGGGACACACCCAGTGTGTCTTGTTTAGATACACCCAGTGTGTGGAACAGGAAGGGGACAAAACAATTGTCCCTGGCCCCACGGGGCAACCAACAAAGCCCAGAAGCATGAGAAATATCAAACACTCTCCATTTTGCTCTGCAACCTGGAGACAGCAGACATACATTATATATATTTCACCAAATCACTGGACAGCCAGAACTCCCCTTTCTGTATCCTCTCCATAAACTTATCCCAGCAACTTTAATCTTCTTTCACATCTAAGCCAGTCTTGGACTCTGCTTAATTTTCCTGCTACTGAGCATGGTTCTTTTCCATATCCACCTGCTTTATGCAGCAGAGCTCTTTTCATTTTGTCCCCACAATCTGAGAGGAGGCAGTGAGGGAGGAGGGCTCCTGCGCTTCTAACAGTTGCTCTTGGCAGAGCACTCCAGGCATAGCTACTTCTAGATCATCCCAAACCAATGCTTATCCAATTTCTTCCTCAAATCTCCAATGATGGAGATTCCACAATTTCCTTAGGCAGTCTATTTTAATCCCTCACTGTTCTAACAGTGGAGAAGTTTTTTTCTGATATCCAATCTAAATCTAGTTTGTTGCAACCTCAAGTCACTGGCCCATGTCCTGCTCTCTACAGCAGCAGAAAAAAAAAAGAGGTATTCTTTTTCTTAATGGCAGCCCTTCAGCTATTTGTAGACTGCTATCATGTCTCCTCCTAATGGCCTTTTTTGAAAGCTGAACATGCTTATATTTCTCTAAACCTCTCCTCATGTGGCTTACCTTCCAAGCAAGCAGTGCTTACAATTTGTAATCACTCACCTGTGGACCCTCTCTAACTTTTCCATGTCCTTTTTAAAGTGTGGAGCCCAAAACTGCACATAGTACTCTAGATGAGGCCTAACTGGTGCCAAAAAGGTGACTCCTATTGATGTAACCCAAAACTACAGTTGCTTTTTGTACAGCTGTGCTATAGTACAAACTCATATTGAGCCTGTGATGTACCAAGATTCCTAAATCCTTCCCTGTAGTGCTGTCATCCATCCAGTAATCACTCATGTTGCATTTATGTGCTTCTGCCACCTACTTTCTAGTTTGGTAATCATCCACAAATCTGCTTTAAAAAGCTCTATTTAAGCATCCACATCATTAACAAACATGTTGAACAGCAGCAGGCCCTGGACAGACTCCTGTGGAATTCCACTCAAAACCTTTTGACATTCTGACATGAATCCATTTATAATTACCCTTTGCTTGCAGCTATTGAGACATTTGTCTATCCACCTTAGAGTAGCTTTGTCTAGCCCACATTTTTCCAATTTGTTTATGAGAAAGTCATGTGGGACATAGTTAAAAGCCTTGCTGAGATTCAGATACACTATACTGATTGCATTACTTTCATCTACCCAGCAAGTTATTTTGTTGAAGAAAAAGATCTAGTGCATTTGGCACAATTAGTAAATCCATGCTGCTTGGTTGTAATCAACCTTTCCTCCTCCAGATACTTGCAAATATACTTCTGCATGATATTCTCCAGTAATTTCCCAGGAGGTGTGATCAACCAATCTGCAATTCCCATGGTCCTCCTTTTTGGCTTTCTAAAGAGGGCCATTGTATTCATCCTTTTCCAGTCCTCTGATACCTCACCTGTCTCCCATCACTTCATAAATATATATATATTTTAAAGAGGGGCACTATCTATGTTGGTGCTTTTCTAGTCCTCTGGTATATCACCTGTCTCCCACATGATGAAGAAGAGGAGTCTAAGCACTTAGAGGAAAACAAGAGAATCAGGAATAGCCAACATGGATGCATCAAGAGTAGAGCATACTGACCAACTTGATTTTGTTCTATGATAATGTAAAATAGGCTCTGTGGCTGGCAGGAGGGCACTGGATGTGATATACTTTGATTTTAGCAAGGCTTCTCATTCTGTTTCCCAGAACATTCTCATTACAAAGCTAAGGAACTATGGTTATAGATGAAAACTCTGTAACCTGGCCACATAACTGGTTGGAGCAGTCATCAATGGCTCAATGTCTAGCTGCAAGAAGGTATTGAGTGGAGTTCCCTGGGGACCTAATGTAGGCCCAGAATTGCTTACCATCTTCAATAGTGATTTGGAGGATGGGACTGAATGCACACTTAGGAAATTTGAAGATGATATCAAGTCGGGTAGAGTTACAGACACTTTGAAGAGTACAGCTTGGATCCAGAATGATCCTGATAAACTAGATAAATGGTTCAAAATGAATCTCATGAAATTCAGTAAGGACAAGTGGGAGGGGAGGGGGCCGCAGGAAGACATGGAGACACCACCCGAGCAAGACAGGTGACACATGCAAGGAGTGCCCAGGTAAGAAACAGGGGTCCGGATAATCTTCCTAATCGGGGGGTGGCACGCGCAGCTATGCAAGGCCTTAAATGCCTATATACCAATGCTCATAGTATGGGGAACAAACAGGAGGAACTCGCCCTCAGAATAGCCAGTTCAAACCCAGACATAGTAGGGATTACAGAATCGTGGTGGGATTCATCGCACGACTGGGCAGTTAGCATTAGGGGCTATAGGCTCTACAGGTGGGATAGAGAAGGAAGAAAGGGAGAGGGTGTGGCACTCTATGTCAAAGAGCAATACGCATCCTCTGCCAGCAAAATGGGGTCAGAGGAGGGGCAAGCTGAAGTGGTCTGGGTCAAGATACAAGGGGGTCATGGGGAGAGGGATTTCATGCTGGGGGTCTACTACAGATCCCCCCAACCAAGGGGAGGAGCTGGACCGGGAATTTTCAGGCCAGCTTGCAGAGGCACTTAAGGCAAGGGATGTAGTTGTCATGGATGATCTAAATTACCTGGACATCTGCTGAGAGGAGCAGTCAGCCAGGTCAGACTGTTCCAGGAGGTTCCTGGCCAAGATACAGGACCTCCACTTAACCCAGGAGATGCACAGTCCCACCAGAGGAAATGCCCTGTTGGACCGGGTCCTGGCCACAGGCGATGATCTGGTAAGGGGGCTCCAGGTCCTTGACCACCTGGGTGATAGCGATCATCGCTTGCTGGAATTCATCATCCAGCGCAGGGTGACAAGGGCCTGCAGCAAGGCGGTAGCCCTCGACTTCAAGAGGGCCAACTTCAACAAGTTGAGATTGGTGGGAGAGGCACTGGGGTTCTTGAGGGCAGGGGAACTCAGTGCCCAAGATGAGTGGTTGTCCCTTAAGGAGACAATACTCAGGGCCCAAGGGGTGACAATCCCAACAAGAAGCAAGTGGGGCAAGAGTGCCCAAAAGCCTCCCTGGCTCACCAAGGACGTCCGGGAATGCCTGGTTGCCAAAAAGGTGGCGTACACCCAGTGGAAAGGGGGTGGGGGGGAGCTATCTCCAAAGAGGAGTATACCTCCACTGCTTGGGCCTGTAGGGGGCTGTTAGGAAAGCTAAGGCAGACATAGAGCTAGGACTAGCATTCAAGATCAAAGATAATAAAAAGGCCTTTTTCAAAAATGGAGGATGAAATATGGAGGATAAAGAAGGCGCTGGGAAATGTGGGGCCCCTGCAAGATACGCTGGGCAATCTGGTGGTTGCGCCAGAGGAGAAGGCAGACCTCTTTAACAAATTCTTCACCTCCGTTTTCTTGTGCAGGGACCGGGACTCCCCCACCGTGATTCAAGACGGACTCGAGGGGAAC